CAAAGAATATTTTTTCAAGGCCTACATAAGGCGTGGATTTTTTAAAGAATATTTTTTCAAGGCCTACATAAGGCGTGGATTTTTTAAAGAATATTTTTTCAAGGCCTACATAAGGCGTGGATTTTTTAAAGAATATTTTTTCAAGGCCTACATAAGGCGTGGATTTTTTAAAGAATATTTTTTCAAGGCCTACATAAGGCGTGGATTTTTTAAAGAATATTTTTTCAAGGCCTACATAAGGCGTGGATTTTTCAAAGAATATTTTTTCAAGGCCTACATAAGGCGTGGATTTTTCAGAGAATATTTTTTCAAGGCCTACATAAGGCGTGGATTTTTAAAGAATATTTTTTCAAGGCCTACATAAGGCGTGGATTTTTAAAGAATATTTTTTCAAGGCCTACATAAGGCGTGGATTTTTAAAGAATATTTTTTCAAGGCCTACATAAGACGTGGATTTTTAAAGAATATTTTTTCAAGGCCTACATAAGGCGTGGATTTTTTAAAGAATATTTTTTTCAAGGCCTACATAAGGCGTGGATTTTTTAAAGAATATTTTTTACATAAGGCGTGGATTTTTTTAAGTATATTTTTTCAAGGCCTACATAAGGCGTGGATTTTTCAAAGAATATTTTTTCAAGGCCTACATAAGGCGTGGATTTTTCAGAGAATATTTTTTCAAGGCCTACATAAGGCGTGGATTTTTCAGAGAATATTTTTTCAAGGCCTACATAAGGCGTGGATTTTTAAAGAATATTTTTTCAAGGCCTACATAAGGCGTGGATTTTTTAAAGAATATTTTTTCAAGGCCTACATAAGGCGTGGATTTTTCAAAGAATATTTTTTCAAGGCCTACATAAGGCGTGGATTTTTAAAGAATATTTTTTCAAGGCCTACATAAGGCGTGGATTTTTCAAAGAATATTTTTTCAAGGCCTACATAAGGCGTGGATTTTTTCAAGGCCTACATAAGCCGTGGATTTTTTTCAAAGAATATTTTTTCAAGGCCTACATAAGGCGTGGATTTTTCAAAGAATATTTTTTCAAGGCCTACATAAGGCGTGGATTTTTCAAAGAATATTTTTTCAAGGCCTACATAAGGCGTGGATTTTTTCAAGGCCTACATAAGGCGTGGATTTTTCAAAGAATATTTTTTCAAGGCCTACATAAGGCGTGGATTTTTCCAAGAATATTTTTTCAAGGCCTACATAAGGCGTGGATTTTTCCAAGAATATTTTTTCAAGGCCTACATAAGGCGTGGATTTTTCCAAGAATATTTTTTCAAGGCCTACATAAGGCGTGGATTTTTCAAAGAATATATGTCCGAAGTACCTTGTTTCCTCACATACCCGTCAACTGCAATTCATCTTCGAAAATAAACTAAAAATCATTTTCTTTTATTTTTTTATGTATTTTTGCAATTTCATTTTATTGTTCTTGCAACAATTCCAAATGGCTTTTTATTGTTACGGCGAGGAATGATTAGTTGTATAGCAAGCAGGTGGTTTGCCAGTCACCAAATGACTTGAAATTTTTCATGGAAGTGTGAGTTAACTGCAGACATTAATCACAAAGAACTGTTAGACACTTGGCTATAAATGGCTTCATTCCGTTTTCAGTTAGACAAGTTAATTACAAAATCCGTGTATGAAATTTAATAAAACCAGCAAGGAAAGTAGTAATGTCGGACGGGGCCGACTATATGATACCCTTCACCAGATGCTTCCTTACAGACGCCGCATTTTTAAAGGACCAGTAAAATGAAATTGGATCCATAAATATGTCATTCTGCAACCGATACTAAATTTTTCATTTGGTCAGATATAGAAGCTACATCTAAATCTGAACCGATTTCAGGAAACATAACACACATCATATACATGTATATATATGGGGGCTATATCTAAAGCTTGACCGATTTCAAGAACAACTTCATAGATGTCAAATTGGACTGAATTCAGTACGTTGTGTAAAATTTTGTTTAAATCGGACAAATATTTTCTGTTTGGTGCACCATTTACTTAAAATCGGGAGCTATATCTAAATCTAATCCGATTCCAACAAATATTTGCAGATATCAAATTGAACCTAATTCAGTACGTTGTTCAAAATGTTTTCTCCATCGGAAAAATGTTGGCAGTATGGTGCTCTATTTACATAAAATCGGACGAAGCTATATATGGGAGCTATATCTGAATCTGAAGCGATTTCAACAAAACTTGGCACATATCTATCTAAACCTAATTCAGTACTTTGTGCAAAAATTTGTCTCAATCGGATCAATTTAGGCAGTATGGTGCACCAATTACCTAAATTCGGATTAAACTATATATGGGAACTATATCTAAATCTGAAGCGATTTTCTGCAATTTCAATAAGGTTCGTCCTGGGGCCAATTAAGTGACATGTGCCAAATTTCATCCAAATCGGATCATAAATGCGACCTGTACTTTATTCATAAAAATGCATGGACGGACGGACAGACGGACATGCGTAAATCGACTTAGAAAGTGATACTATGCATATTCTCAAAAGGAACCATGGGTCTATCTCGAATCATTTTGCCTGTTACAAACATATGCACAAAGACATATGTTTGTAACACCACAGTGTGGTGAAGGGTATAAAAACCAGTGAGCAGAGCAGTATAGTAGGATGGGCCGACCATACAATACCCTACACAGCTACCACGGAACTTTAACCTTTTGCGGATGTTTATTTCGAGCCTGGACAATATTTCGTGATATTTGCAGCAGATTGGAGTTTAACAGCACCTCTTCCATAGACTGGCATATTTTCCGAATATAACTAATATTGAGTACAGCGCTTCTAATTACTTTTCCATATTCCCTTCACCGTGGGTTATGTTGTGGCTATAGATCGATCGTGGCTATAGATCGAAAAACCACAAACATTTAAGTTTTTGGTCCACTTCATCCCAATATTATTATCTGATCATCACCGAAAGTTATAGACGTTGTAAGTGGTATCAATTAAAAGGTCAACCACTCCTCTTAGATATACTATCAACTTCTCAGGTCTATGTCCTTTTGGAGTACATATATACGCCATCGAATACAAATTTTGTAATTTATCACACAAAAGTCAGGGTCAAGTTGACCCGCTAAATATTGACCGATCTTTATCAAAACAGGTATGCTTATTCTTTGGCCCGATCTCCTTCTACATGTACAATTTCGCGATGTTCGGGCCATAATTGCTCTGGAGCGATCAGAAAATCAGACAAAAATAAAGTATGTGGTCCATTTCATTCCCTAAATATTAACCGATATTTACCAAAAACAATACGGGTCTTCATTGGCCAGAACCCATCCTACATGCAAAATTTCGTGAAGATTCGTCAATAACTGTGGTCTGTATCGTGTTTACAAATTATAATGGGGAGACGGACAGACGGACGGACATACATGTCTAGATCGACTCACCTAGTCGAGATATGACGATCGGTATACTTAAAGGTGGGTCTAGTACCAATATTTCGCGGCGTTACAAACTCTTGGGGCTGCACAAAGCTATAATACCCTGAAAACATAGTTGTGTAGGGTATAAAAATATAAAAAATCCATCCTCCTTGAAAAAATATAAAAATCCGTGGTCCTTAAAAAAACTCTTAATAAAGAAAAAAAAATTTCTTAAAAAAAATGTACGCCTTGTAATGGTCCTTAAAAATCTATTCCATGTAATGGTCCTTAAAAATCTACGCCTTGTAATGGTCAATAAAACATCTACGCCATATAATGGTCCTTAAAAAATCTACGCCTTGTAATTATCCTTAAAAAAACAACGCATTGTAATGGTCCTTAAAAAATCAACGCCTTGTAATGGTCCTTAAAAAATCAACGCCTTGCAATGGTCCTTAAAAAATCAATGCCTTGTAATGGTCCTTAAAAAATCAATGCCTTGTAATGGTCCTTAAAAAATCAACGTCTTGTAATGGTCCTTAAAAATCTACGCCTTGTAATGGTCAATAAAACATCTACGCCTTATAATGGTCCTTAAAAAATCTACGCCTTGTAATGATCCTTAAAACAACAACGCCTTGTAATTATCCTTAACAAATCTACGCCTTGTAATGATCCTTAAAAAAACAACGCCTTGTAATGATCCTTAAAACAACAACGCCTTGTAATTATCCTTAACAAATCTACGCCTTGTAATGATCCTTAAAAAAACAACGCCTTGTAATGGTCCTTAAAAAATCAATGCCTTGTAATGATCCTTAAAAAAACAACGCCTTGTAATGGTCCTTAAAAAATCAATGCCTTGTAATGATCCTTAAAAAAACAACGCCTTGTAATGGTCCTTAAAAAATCCACGCCTTATGTAGGCCTTAAAAAATACCCTTTAAAAAATCCACGCCTTATGTAGTCCTTAAAAAATATCCTTTAAAAAATCTACGCCTTATGTAGTCCTTAAAAATATCCTTTAAAAAATCCACGCCTTATGTAGGCCTTAAAAATATCCTTTAAAAAATCCACGCCTTATGTAGGCCTTAAAAAATATCCTTTAAAAAGTCCACGCCTTATGTAGGCCTTAAAAAATATCCTTTAAAAAATCCACGCCTTATGTAGGCCTTAGAAAATATCCTTTAAAAAATCCACGCCTTATGTAGCCCTTAGAAAATATCCTTTAAAAAATCCACGCCTTATGTAGGCCTTAGAAAATATCCTTTAAAAAATCCACGCCTTATGTAGGCCTTAAAAAATATCCTTTAAAAAATCCACGCCTTATGTAGGCCTTAAAAAATATCCTTTAAAAAATCCACGCATTATGTAGGCCTTAAAAAATATCCTTTAAAAAATTCACGCCTTATGTAGGCCTTAAAAAATATCCTTTAAAAAATCCACGTCTTATGTAGGCCTTAAAAAATTATCCTTTAAACAATCCACGCCTTACAAAAATATTTTATTTGAAATTCACATTATAATTCATCTATATATTAATTTTATTTTATTCTAAGAATCTTTCTTCTTATGCACCAACCTTCCCCAAAACGCCACTTTTGCTATCAGCTGATTTTCATATTTCACAAAATTGATGGCGGTGAATACACCTTCCGGCAGATAGGATGGATAGAGGCTCGTATCAAATCGAAATCCTTTTATGGTATAATTGTAATTCTAATAAGAAAAAAATACAGAAATTTATTTTATTAATTTTTTTACAGTTTTTTTCATTACCAACCTTTCGAAAGGGACACTTCGTACCGCCATTATAGTATCGCCTCAGTGTCTTTAGCAGAGCTATGAATAGCCGCAATCTATTCAAATTGGCCAAAAAATCACAGGCACTCAAATTCACATCGTATATTTTCAACACTGGCATCTTCGGTCGATAACCATTCATTATGGAACGAATTTGAAAATCCTTTATGGTGGTGGCCAATTCCATGCGCATATCCAGAACATTTTCATTGCTCTCATTTCGCAGTGAACAAACCAGGGCCTTGAAATGTGTTGAATTCTGGGAACACTGAACTTTTGTCAATTCCAGAATGTAATTACGCTCCTGAAAAATAAGGGGGGAAATTAAGAAATGAAATTAATATAATTTTTTTGAATTTGAAAAATGCCACTCTCTCCTACCTGCCCATTTGAATTCGAAATTGTAAAATAAATAACAATTACAACCACCCAACAAACATATTGACGTAATGTAATTTTTGATTTTATTAGCATTTTTACAACACACAAAACGAGAGCTGATAGTTTATTTCAGTTTTTTTCTAAAACTATTTGAAATTTGTAGTATTCTGTAGAAAATAAACAAAATAAAATAATAATATTGTTTTTAAATAAAATGTTTACTAATAAATAAAATACAATTTTTTTTTATAATTTGAAACGTAATTGAAAAACAATTATAATAAATTATTTTTAACCATTTTATTTGCAGACGTTTTAATCGAGCCATTAAAATTAATGACCGATACGCAGTGGGCCGTGTTGATATGAGGGTCGTTCAAAAATTATGGGAATGTTTAATGTTAGCGGGGTAAGTATACTTTATTATTTTAATTTCGTTTTTCCCTTTGTAACTCATCGAAATAATCATTTCTTGGACAGCGTAAAATTCTCTGACGATTTAGCCCTGTCCGTCTGTCTCTAAACGGATTGAGATAAACCTTCAAAATTTTGCATAGACTTGTCTTTTGTCTGCAGGCAAGTCAAGATCGATAATGGGTTATAAAAGATCATGTTTAGGCATAGTCCCCATATAAGGGTACCCCGATATTTTTGGCATTTTTGGGGTTCTTGAGAGAGTTTTTAAACTCTTTGAGTTCTTATTGAATAGAAAATCTCTCCACTATAAATTATAAATATAGGTCAATTTTTTCGGGTAGCTCGCTTTAATATTGTTGTTTGAGTTCTTATTGAATAGAAAATCTCTCCACTATAAATTATAAATGTATTTGGGTACCCCGAAATTTTCGGTATTTTGGGGTTCTTAAACGTATTTTACAACGGAATTCGCTGTAATTTGGTACTTTGTAGTCGTAAATGGTAACAAATTTCCACCCAAAAATTATTAATACTTGCCCCCCTTTTAGGGCTAGTCCCCAGTTTGATTTGTTTCGCGTTTTGGGCGTATCCCCACATAGTAAATAGTATTTCACCATAGTAGTGGGGATCCTGTACACGAAAGTAAGGAATTCTAAGAAATTTAGTCATCTGTTGTAATTATTCTACCTTCGGAGGATATCGAGATAAAAAACTATATTTAGCGTGATGAAAGTATTGTAATGCATAGCACTTCATATAATGATAACTCCAAATGTTCGGTAATTCCTACATGATGTAATCAATATTGATCCCGCTATAGATATAGCCTCCAGGGAGGTACGCATACAATTTGTTTACACCCCTCACCAAACTGTGTTACATGGTATTATGTCTTTGTGCATATATTTGTAACAGGCAAAAGGAAACGAGATAGACCCATAGTTCTTTTTGGGAATATGCATAGAATCACTTTCTGAGTCGATTTATGCATGTCAGTCCGTCCGTCTGTCCATGTTAAATTGTAAACAAAGTACAACGAATTGGATACAATTTGGCACAGGTCACATATTTGGCTCAAGTATATAGCTCCCATATATATTTTCGTCCGATATAATGTAAATGGCGTACCGAAGTCTCTATTAATACCCTTTACCACACTGTGGTACAGGGTATTATGTCTTTGTGCATATGTTTGTAAACAGCAAAAGGAAACGAGATAGACAGATGGTTCCTTTTGAGAATATGCATCGAATCACTTTCTAAGTCGATTTATGCATGTCAGTCCGTCCGTCCGTCTGTTCATTTTAAATTGTAAACAAGGTACAGGTCCCATTTTTAATCCGATTTGGATACAATTTGGCACAGGTCACTTATTTGGCCCAAGGACGAACGCTATTGAAATTGGAGAATATCGGTTCAGATTTAGATATATCTCCCATATATAGTTTCGTCGGATTTTATGTAAATGGTATATCAAAGCCTCTATATATTCTTCGATTTGCACGAAATTTGACATGACGTTCTAAATTAAGTCTAAAATGGTGTGTGTTAAGTTTTATGAAAATCGGTTAAGATTTATATATAGCTCCCATGTGTATTTTCGTCCGATTTAAGGTAAATGGTGTGCCAAAGTCCCTATATATATTTCGATTTGCACGAAATTTGGCACTGCGTAATAAATTAGGTCTAGAATGATGAGTGCTAAATTTCATGAAAATCGGTTAAGATTTAGATATAGCTCCCATATATATATATATATATTTTCGTCCGATTTAATGTAATTGGTGTAATAAAGTCCCTATATATCTTTCGATTTTCACGATTTTTGGCATAGCGTACTGAATTAAATCTAGAATGATGTGTGTTAAGTTTCATGGAAATCGGTTCAGATTTAGATATAGCTCCCACATATATTTTTCTTCCGATTTTGTGTAAATGGTGTACCAAAGTCCCTATATAGTTCAATTTGCACGAAATTTTACATGACTATATTAAGTCTAGAATGATGTGTGCTAAGTTTATTGGAAATCGGTTCAGATTTAGATATAGATCCCATACATATATTTGTCCGCTGTAATGTTTATGGTGCACCAAAGCCCCTGAATATCTTTCGATTTGCACGAAACTTGGCGAGGCATAGTGAAGTGAGTCTAGAATGATGTGTGTTTAGTTTCATTGAAATCGGTTCAGATTTTGATATAGCTCCCATATATTTTCGTGAGATGTTATGTAAATGGTGTACCAAAGTCGCTATACATATTTCTATTTACACGAAATTTGGCATGGTGTACTGAATCGAGTCTAGAATGATGTGTGCTAAGTTTAGTGAAAGCTCATATACATATATAGATATATATATATATATATATATTCGTCCGATTTAATGTAAATGGTGTAACAAAGTACCTATCTCTTGTTCGATTTGCACGAAATTTGGAATCGCGTACAGAATGAAGTCTAGGACGATGCGTGTTAAGTTTCGCGAAAATCGGCTTCGAGTTAGATATAGCTCCCATATATATTCGCCGGATTTAATGTAAATGGTGTAACAATGGCCCCATATATCTATCGTTTTGCACGAAATTTGACATAGCGTATTGAATTGAGTCTAGAGTGGCGTGTGTTAAGTTTCGTGAAAATTGGTTCAGAATTAGACGTAGCTCCCATATATATTTTCCTCCGATTAAACCTAGAATAATCTGTATTGGATTAGGGTGTCATATAGTCGTCTCCGTCCAACCATTGAACTTTCCTTACTGTTTTTATACCTTGGGTTGGGTTCTCCCCGAAGAAGATCCCTATTGTTTTTGGTATAGATCGATTAATATTTAGGGAATGAAATGGACCAAATACTTAATTTTTGTCGGTTTTTTCTGGTCTCTCCAGAGGCCGCAATTATGAACCAAACATGGCGAATTTTTGCATAGAGAAGGGAATCGGGCCAAAAATAAGCATGCCTGTTGTGTTAAAGATCGGACAATATTTAGCGGGTCAAATGGACCCTGACTTTTGTGTGAAAAATGACGAAATTTGTATTATATAGCGTATATATTTGCCCCTGAAGGACGTAGAGCCGAGAAGTTGATAGTATATCCAAGAGGAGTGGTTGGCCTTTAAATTAATACGAATTATATTGCCGTATGTACTCGGATGTGGAATTTAACCTTAAATATTTATAGGTGCTTACGAATTCAGATATTATTTAGTAACCCATTACCACACTAGAGGTGGGAAATGTAGCACTAATCGCTTTGAAAATTTCCTTGAGGATCCAGTTATGGTCAAGGACAATATCTATAATTTTCAGTGATGATCAGGTAATAATTTTGGGATGAAGTGGACCGAAAACTTAATTTTTGGTGTGCTTTTTTTGAGTCGATCTATAGGCCACAATTGAAAGCCGAACATCACAACACAACCCACAGTGAAGGAAATCTGGACAAGTAATTAGAAGGGCTGTACTGAATATTAGTAATATTCGGAAAACATGACCATGTACGGAAGACGTGCTGTTGACCTATATTCGGGCAAGAGGGTGCAACTATCAGAAAATATTGCTCAGGCTCGGAATAAAACCCAAAGAAGTTAGAGTTCTGAGGTAGTTGTATAGGGTTTCGTATGGTCGCCCCCGTCTGAATATATTGCTCTGCTCAGTGTTTTTTTTTTTTTTTTTTTTTGAAATTTGTCCCACAATTTAAAAAAAATAATATTGTAGGGTATACAAATAATATTAAATAATGTTTCATGTCCATGACCAACAAACATTTCCTGATCGACTTCATTAGATTTAAATTTGTTGTTGCTGTAGTTTGTTTTTCTTTTGTAAATAAATTTAGTAAACATTTTATAAAATACCAATTCTTGGTTTCTTAAAATCAATTACGCAAGACAAAACAAAATTCTGAAAAAAACTCCTAGATAAATCGATTAAATTGCAATTTTGTTTAAAACAAAAAAAACAAAGAAATTCCCCCCAAAACGTTTGTCAATCAAACGTTCGTCGTCAACATCGGCGTTGTGTTCTTGTTGTTGTTGTCTTTGACAAACAAAGTAACATTGAGTTGCATCCATCAGGTTTTGAAGTCAATTTTCTGCACAGAAACAGAAACGTCGACAACAGCAGATAGAACAACATGAGAGGGCGGGGTGGCTGTGGATGGATGCTAGGTTGGGTGATGGGGAACCATTTAAGATGTGAATTGCTAACAAAATTCAATTTTCCACAAATATGAGCAAATCTCAATTAAGACCTGAGGGGGAGGGGATACAAAACAAAAACAAGTTAAAAAGTGTTTTCTTCATTTACTCCTCCTGTTGTCAAACGTTCTAATGGCAACAATTTAGACAACCATTAAAAACACGTACACATGTTTAAATACCGGTGTATTCCCCAAACGCATGACATTAGGGGAGGGGGATATACAAAAAATCATTATTATATTTTTTTTAATTATTTGGATCAAAATCTATTCTTAACACTTTATTTAATTCTAAATTTATTTTTAT